ATTTTTCCGTTATAAATAGAATCACCATTTAAAACTGTCTTTTTGAATGTGTCTTTGTCTATGAAATTGATAATTGAAACAAAGTTTAAGAATAAAGCAAAACCAGAAGATATCTGTGAGGGGCGCTACAGCCATTCAGCAGCAGTGTGACATCTGTCGCTCTGCCTGGTACATCCCAGGTACAAGGTAACCCAGGTGGAGCTGTTCGCCCTGCTGTGTCGCCTGGCGGATGAACTGCTCTTCCGGCAGATTTCCTGGATCAAGAAGCTGCCTTTCTTTTGCGAGCTGTCCATAGAGGACTACACCTGCCTGCTCAGCTCCACCTGGCAGGAGCTCATCCTGCTGTCTTGCCTCACCATCTACAGCGCCCAGATCTTCGGAGACCTGGCCGATGTCACTGCCAAATACACGCCGTCTGATGATGAGCTGCAGGGGTGAGTGGCGTGGAGAGGTGTTGAGCTGCAGTAACCTTAAGTCGTGTTTGGTGTTACGTTGCTTTATTTTTCGCATTTGAAAAGAAAATTCTCACCGGTCTGAACTAGAACATAGTATCTACAGTACTGGTGATGAAATGACTTGACCAGTTTTTGTACAATGTCAAAGATGTCACTAGGAGCGATCACTTCTGACCCCCTTAAATCCACAGGGTTTTACAAACATACGACAGTATCTGTGTTGTTCCAGCTTCAGTTCTGTCTGGAACCAGGCTGCCAGCTGCACCAGTCAGCTGCTTTAGTTTGAATGTGTTGTGTGAAACAAACACTCAGAACACCCAGTCCTCTGCCAGAAGGCAAGGTTGGCAGCAAGCTAGCTGTGTGCTTATCAGCCTACAAACCACATATTGTGTTAAAAACAGGAACAGAACAACAGGATTCCTATCTATGCTTGAAAGTGTAGGAGTTGCTTTTAATATTTCCCAGCTTTGGAAAAGTACAGGTTAAAGTGAAACACAACTTTGAAAAAACATTTACTCTCTTAATATGGTTCTCCACATAAATAGATTCACTTTTTCTATTCTTGATATACAATAAAAAAATTGTTATTCTCAGTGGGAAACTTTGTAAAAAGAAAAAAAGACTAGAACAGTTTTCAAAGCTGCAAATATATTTTCTTGTGAATAGATTTTCTTGTGAAATAGTCAGCAGGTAGAGATAATAAAAACCCTGACACAAGTCCTGGCATGTATTGGAAGTTTACAAATGTTGGTTTTATAACATAAAATTGTCCCTCTGACTGCCTCCGACAAAAACAACTGAAAGATGTGAAGGAATCATGTAGGAATCCTGGAACGTACCCAGAAGGCAATTACTCACTGCTTTCTTTATAAAGTTATTATTAAAGTAAGTAATTTTTTTCTCATACAAATATGTAAAAAATTTACGTTGGATGACACATGTATTTACATTCCACAGTACAGTTAAATGGTAAACAGCTCGTATTTAAAGTGCTTTATCATGTCCACAGGACCTCAAAGCGCTTCAGACTACATTCAGTCATTCACCATTCACACACACACACACACACACACACACACACACACACACACACACACACACACACACACACATTGATGGTGGTGAGCTACTGTTAGTAAATGCAGCTGCTCTGGGGCAGAGCAAAGGCTAGGCGAGGCTGCCGTGCACCGTAGCCACTGGGGCCATCAAAGCCACCGGGGGCCACCGGGGCCTCTAACCACCACCAGCAGCAGGCAGGTAAAGTCTCTTACCCAAGTACACAATGACAGAGGCAATGGGGATTGAACCGGCAACCTGCCGACCACCAACATCCCAAGTGTCCCAAGCCTTAATATTTGAATGTTATTCATAATGGATGTGTTAAAGTCCCAGTCCTAATTGAATCATGTTTCACTAGATGGCAAAACGGAAGCCAAATTGATGTATTGTTTCTTATTAAAATGAGGAGCACCAGCATAATTTCCACTCTCTTGAGCTCGCCTGAATATAAGCCATCTTCAGTTTCCTCCTGCATACTAATCCACTGAAATAGAATTCTCTGTTTAGGGTTGGAATTGAACAGCCTCAGAATCTACACACTTCCTCAGTTTCTCTTCAGTCTTGATGTAAACACCCATATATTAGACAGAGTGTTCAAAATGTTTGAAAAAAGTTCAAATAGTCCATAAGTCACGGTATATATTTCGGAAATTACTTAACAACCCTTCCCAGATTGATGGGTAGCAACAGTTGCTTCTCTAAAACCATCACTGTGGTGTTTTCTGAGTGTTAGAAGCCACCTGTATTCTCCATGTTAGTTGACTGAATAAACATCTGCTATTAGTACAAGTATTAGTTCCAGACGAGATTTCTTTTAAATTATTAAATATTATCAGAACAAAGATACAAAAATATCAAAAGAATGTTGTAAAATTACTTAGAAAAAGACATTTTAATGAGAGTATTTAATCCTGATGTATTAAAAGATCAAGTAGGTTCTATTAGTAAAACTGACACCAAAGGATAACTTCACAAGGTCCTCAACATTAATCATTTTCATTTTTTTATATTTTTTGCCAGTCATTGTAAAATTAGCACTTCATTCTTCTAATATTACGACTTTATTCTGTTAACGGGTTTATTGTTGTATCGTTGACTTTTTTCTCATATTATTACAACTTTATTCTCGTAATCAAATTTTTTTTCGTAGCCTTAACCTGATACTTCATTGTACAGAATGTTTCACTTCAGTAATAGTTTAGCAGAGCTGTTCATTGTCAGTTTTGTTGTAAATCCCTGTTATATCACTTAGCCTTTATTAATCAAACGACCACAGAAGAAGCTTAATTTAACATGGTTTCTGTTTTTACGGACATGAAATGCTTTAGCCGGAGGAGCCTTCAGATAAAGCTGCTGTGATCAGGGTCGTTGGCTTTGCAACATTTTCATGAATGTCAGAACTCATTGGGGCGGGAGTGTGTGTGTGTGTGCGTGTGTGTGTGTGTGTGTGTTATCTCACTCATTACAATAATCAGTGTCTCCCACGGCTGTCTTGTGCAGGCTGTTAGCATCCACAACATGTTGGCTTTCCCAGGTAGCCTGCTGGACTTCTGCCCTAATGATTCACCAAGAAGGATGTAGATATCAGGAGTTCCATGTTCCACGTTACAGAGGCGAGTCGTTCTGCTCTGGGGGCCCTGCGTCTCTCAGCAGGGACATTATTTTTCTTGGTGAAGGGCCAGAGCAGGAATCTGTGAACAGGAGGACTCCCTGAGCCAGAGCTGTGACTAGCACCGTCTGGCATGAGAAAAAAACAGCAGGTAGAATGGGATGAGGGGTGGAGGGGGGTGGAGATGAATGTGTAAATCATGCTTGAATTATCTGACTTTATGACACGCATCCCTGTGATATATGGTGGTGCTGCGCCGCTCCGGACAGCCGGCCTTTGAGTTTAGGGCTTTCAGGAGGGGGGGTTGATTTACAGCAGCGATGGTTAACGTTGTCATAGAGATTAGGAGTTTAAGAGCCACAGAATCAGGGAGGCGATGATGAGGAAAATTAAACTTCATGAATGTTTCTATTTCCTCCAAAAATCTGTGGGAGAAAGAGATGTTTTCAGCTCTTTGAGTGGATTTGACAGAATCCTCCCTCTTTTCTGAAACAGACAAAATACTGTGAGCGTTTGTCTCGCAGTAAAAATACCCAAACATTTTACTGGATCTGTAAAAATGCAGTCATTTTTACAGATTCTGTGTAGAGAAACAAAACCATTTTAAGCTTTTCTGTCCAACTGTCAAGTGTGTTCGTGTGATCCCACAGCTTCAGTGAAGATGGGATGGAAGTGATGGAGAGGCTGATATATTTGTTTCGCAAGTTCCACCAATTGAAGATCAGCAATGAGGAGTACGCCTGTATGAAGGCCATCAACTTCCTCAACCAAGGTGATAAAGAGCAGCTGTCTGCTGTCCCTGAGTCCAAACTGTCGTGACCATGTAGCATGACCATAACGCTGCTGTCTCTGTCCAGATATCAGAGGACTGTCCAACGTCTCCCAGCTGGAGCAGCTGAACAAGCGCTACTGGTACGTGTGCCAGGACTACACCGAGTACAAGTACCCGCACCAGCCCAAGCGCTTTCCTGAGATCATGATGTGTCTGCCCGAGATCCGCTGCATTGCAGGTAAGGCCTGAGGCAGCCAGAGCGCAGCACACCATTCCTCAGACATATTTCTAGATCCGAATTCCAGAGGAAAGGGTCTAACCTAAAGCTGTATGTAACTTTTACACAATTATGTTTTTTCCATATTTGTTAAAACTGTGACCATGTTGGAACAGTATGACACAGATCATTTGTGAAAAGATGGATCTCCTCCTTCTCCATGAGCTATAGCTTCCATCTAAAGAAATGCACAGGTCCCAGTCAGAAACAACCAATCAGAGCCAGGAGGAGGAGCTTAGCTCTGTCAGTCAACGTCATGTACTCACTGCTCAATGTTGTAACGGCTAAGAAACAACTTAGAGTTCCTGGAAAACTGTTTATCCGCTGTCTTTGGTGCCATGCTAACTAGCTTTAGCATTGGTGGGAGGCTGTGTTGTAGTTAACCAGGTGCTGCGTAGAAAAGAGCAGGCAGGGCAAAGTGATTGACAGCGCTAAGACCCTCCTCCTGACTCTGGTTGGCTGCTTCTGTCTGAGCAGTGTGTTTCTGCAGTTAGTGGTGGGAGGAGCTGGAAGAAGGCAGAAGAACTCAATGTTTTTCACAGATTGTCTGTTTCATACTGTACTGTCATGACATAATGGTCAGTTTAACAAATATATAAAAGTCTTTTACATATATATTTTACTAAAAGATATATATTTTATAAAAGCAGCATATAAAGCAGAAACAGCAGCGGTCTCTCATTCGGATCCTGCCAGTCAGGTTGGGTTTCTTGGGAATGGGATTAGTATCAGACCTGTGGACGACAAGTGTCACAAATTACTTTTGATAATTAATTCATGGCTCCATAAAACAGAAAATGCTGCCATTGGGGACAGGAACAGGCCAACAGCAAATTCAGATGTTTTCAGCATCAGATTTAAAATACCCAAGCTTCCTCCTATAAGGAGGAAAGACTCCCTACAGAAAGTCAAGTGATTATTTATATTGTGTTTAAACATTTAACTTGCACAGAAGGTAATTTAACTTTACACAAACTGATTTATTTAATGTAATAATTACTATTCCTACTGGCTCAATTACTTATTGATCTGCGTAGCTGAAATAAAAAGTTTTATTTCTTTATATGTTAAAGTTAGTGAAATTTAAGGATGTTTTTCTTTGACCAATCAGGTGTATTGAGTGTGTAAGGTGTGTGTGAGAGAGAATTTTCAAAACATATTTTTTTCAGGTTTTATTTGACTTTGTTCCTGTTATGTAGAATATTATCACAAGACATTTTTAATAACAGTGAATTGAGATGTTTGATTTGTTTGTATCTCTATAGTGCGGGTGGCCTCTTTTATTTTGAAACTGAACCCAAACACACCAAAGTCCACATCACATCTACATCTACAAGCATAACTGAACTTCTTCCTTCTCCCTCGCTAAAACTTTTTCCTGACCTCGTTATCTACTTGTCTTAGTGTTGACAATTAGTAGCAAAGCACCTTTTTGTTTGTTATCATGAAATTATTTTGTCCTTCCTACCTGGAGCAGAGATATTGATCCCTGATGCCTCCTGACGTCGGCTCACAGATCTAACGGTTCTGTTTAACTTGCTCTGGTGTTCTGATCATGGAAGGTTACCTACAGGAAGTTGCTGAAGGATAAATGACTGAGGATGTGATGTTGTGTCTCTGAGTTTGACCTGCCTCTGTGTGGTTGTCCTCCCAGGGAAGCTGGTGAACGTCCCCCTGGAGCAGCTCCCCCTCCTGTTTAAAGCAGTCTTGCACTCCTGCAAATCCAGCCTGACCAGCTACCGGACCGGCCCGTCGCCCTGCGCGACCGCCCCCTCTGGAAACTAACCTATCCCGACTGCCGAGCCTAGGGACCGGTCTCCCCTCCTGTGAATGTGACAAGCAGCTAGTTCTTTTTTTTTTTTTTTGTAATATTTTTCTTTATATATTTATTACACGACAGAGCTGAATGTATGCTGATTTACACTGTGCACATCTTCTGTACAAAACAAATGCTCAAAGATGCATTGGTCTTTGGAGTTTACAAGTGTATATCCAGTTTGCTCAATGTGTCGCCGTTGCCATTGTTAGACTAGACTTTAAAAGAGCTTATTTTATTCAGACAGGGCAGCAGGACACATTTGTGATTTGTGACTACCTCAGGAAGATGTTGTTGCTATTTTCAGGTACCTTTTCTTGCTTTGAAATGAAAAGTTGCCTGGTCTAAAATCAAACCTGTGGATGCTTTGACATCTCAATCAGAGACTGAATGTTCAAATGAGCTGCAGAAATCAGAGTTTAGAAACATCAGTGTTGTGTTGCACTGAAAATGCAAAATCCATTAGCAGAATTTTAGCTACTTTATATGCATGGACTCTCAGTTATCCTGTATTCGGGAGGCGGTCCTGTCCGTTTAACATTCCATGAGTTAAGTTGGCCGTTGTTGGATCTGTGGGATCACTGAAAAAGGAGCATACGGGTATTTTTTACAATCATAGACTAGGGATGTGAGGCTTTATTGCAGGGGAAGGGGAGGGTAGCTAGGTTTGCTGTTTTTGTTTCACTTTTCTTTCTAGACCAAAGTGTTATGCAATGCTTTCTTCAAACACCCACTAATGGGTAGGGAGCTGACAGCTCAACAAAGAATGAATATATATAAAGGAGAACTTTCTTATCAATGAAGGATGGTGATAAGAAATTAATCAATATGTAACAGAGGAGAGACCCTCAGCCGGGCAGACAAACTGGTCACCAAAATTCCACCTTAATGCTGCTAATCAGAGCCACGTTTCAGTTGCAAGAAGTGGCTTCAGTCTCACAGGCTTCAAACAACACTGCCTTCATGTGGAAGCTTTCACTTTGTTCTGAAAAACCAACAAATGGGCTGCAGTCAGAGCAGTTGGTTCACTAAAGCCTCGTCATGTTGGTGGAGCTCTGTCAAGAACTTCACAATAATCACATTGTCAGTAATCATGTGACCGGAACACAAAGAGAATCCATCAGTTGGATTCCCTTTAATGTCAGCCTCCAACATAAAAGGCTAATGTTGAAAACCATTTTCACACGACCCTGGACGGTAAAGTCTGATGTGTGATGCATATCAGGCATTATTCTAATGTAACTGTTGTAACCTCTTGTATCCTTTTACACCAGCTGAGCTCTTAGTTGTTTTCTTATATGTCAACCAGCTGGAAGTTCTGCAAAAACACCAAATCTCACCATGTTTGTGTTTTAGTTTCTCAGTATACTTGAAATGAGGCAAAACTAACTTCTTGCTGCAGTAAGATACAGGAGCTTGTTGTAAGTCAATAATTCCTTAATATTGATGAAAAGTGCCAAAGGCAGATTATTTCACTTATAATCTGTTTTACGAGTAAAATAATCTGTCAGTGAAACAAACTTTTTCATCAATATTAGGGAATTGATTTAGAACAAGCTCCTATGTATTGCTGATCTATCAGCTAGTTTTATCTTATTTCAAATTGATTAACATATTTGCATTAGAAACTAGACAAAAATATTTGGTAAGATTTTGTGGTTTTGTAAATCAAGCCAAATATGATAATGTTGATATTTAGCAGATTTTAAGGTCTAATAAGAATATTTTTTTAAAATGGCATGGAATTAGAGGTAGACTGGGAAAAAGCCCCAGGTTTTCCTAGTAGCTCCATGTTTTTGAAAGGTTGTGTTTGCTGTACTGAACCAGTTCACATATGTTCATCTTTAACAGAACCACAGCAGAGACCGCGTTAATCTGATGTAATGTTTTAGACGGGGCGGAATCAGCTGGAAAATTGGAATAATGCTGCATTCACTGACTTGATCTTAGCGGTCAAAAACATCCAAACACATTTTGACAGCGTTCCGGATGCAGGTCGGGAAGCTGCATGGATTCTCTTTCTGTTCTGGTCACAAATCAAAACTCATACAGCTAACAAGACTTGTGGTTCCTCATGTAGCTCCAGGTCTTCCTCAGCTGCAGCAACATGATCTAGCAGCAGAGGCTGTGCAGTAAAATCCTTACAGCAGGTTATAGAAGCTACAAACAAATCCCAATTTGCTCTATTCCTACAGCTCTCTTTTTTGATTTTGTGGTTGGAAGAAAATATCCAACTTTACCTAAAAGTCCTGATTGTTCACAAGTAAAACCAGAACTTTCTGGCTTGCAGCTAGCACTGAATGCAGCATTTGGTCGAGCATGTTTTTCTGATCCAAACCTTGAAGTTTTAGAACAACTGACCGTGAGCTGAAATGTAGCTCCTGATGGCGGCCCACGTCTTAAAGAATCAACGTTGAGTGATGGAATTTAGGTGACCCGCGTCTGGATGAGCCTCTGGGACAGATATGCACATTGTTTTAAAAGAATAGCCATAGACAAAAAAAAGGTCTTTATTTTTAAAATGTGAGATGATCATTTCAGACCGCTTGAATATTTCCTCGTGGATTCTTCGGGGTTTTCGCGGTTTCACAATATGCGAACAATTAGAAGCGCAGGAAGATGCTGTTCTTGCAACAACTTTTTTTTTGTTGTTGTTGGAATTTTTTTCCTTTTTTTTTTTTGTTTTTTTTTTTTTTTTTTTTTGCACACACCGATGAGGTTCAGAGACCTGGACGCTTGACCATGGCTGCTGCCCTCCCAGTGTGTTCCTCTGGCAGGTCCCTGCAGACCTGGATCTAAACAGGGTAAAGTGAGTGTTTTATGTTGCATTCAGGAGTTCCTCAGTGACTGTGCTGATGTACCTGTAGTGTTAGTAGATGTAGGTTTGGGGACATCGTAGGTCCTCTTTTAGAAAATGTATTTTTTTTCTCCCCTTTTTCACAGTATTTCACTCAAGCTTTGAGAGACAGTGGTTGTAGTCTGAAGGTGAGGACTGGGGCGGGGGTCCTCTTCACCTCCCCCCATGTCTGACAGATGCCACCTGTCCTCCTCCAGTCAGCCTTCACTCCAGCCTTGCTGTGTGAAATGTGTTTTCCTCTGTAGTTATTCTGAATGTTTTCAGGGTTTTTTTTTCTTTTGTTGTGCTTTCTTTTCTTTTCCCAGTTTTTTTTTTTTTTTTTGGCAGTGGGTCAAAACGATCTCCATCCTATTCAGAAGTTTTAAAAAGATGTTCAAACCAAACTCATTCCCTTGTGTCGTTCATCACATCGCAGCAGACGGTGGTTCAGAACTCAGAAAGGAACAGCTCTGGACTCGAGGAGATTTTCTGTTCAGAATGTTTTCCTCTAGACATGCAACCTGTTTCTACGTTTGACTGATCTGGAAAATTGTGTCGTCTACCTCAGGAATCAGAGATATACGGCAGCACATTAGGGCCATCATAGAAAAGAACTGAAAAGGAGTACATTTCCGCCAAGAAACTCACAAATGTTTAGATTAATGTCAGCAATTTTCCAGAAGAGACAATGAAAAAAGTTTTTTTTTTTTTTTTTTTAAAGGGGAGAAAAAGAAGGGAGAATTTTTAGTTTTAAAATTTCCTGACACAATAGTCTTAAATTTTCTAGAAAAATTTTCTGAGAATAACCTCAAAATTTCTGAGTGTTTATGGCAGAAATTTACTACTCTTATTTTAAAATCTACAATGGTTAATAAGCCGTCATAAAAATGTGCTTATTTTGCAGCCAATCTCCTTGTTTTCTGTTTCTTTAATAGTGTTTAGCTGCGTGGAGGAGCGTGGGGATTCTGTTTTTATCTAGCTCAGGTTTATCTGTGCAGCTTTGTGTTCTGCTCACTCACCTTTGGACAGAGGACATCTTTGTAACCGACTGACTCTTTCCACTACATGATCTCAAGGATTAACCACTTTCTGTGAACACAAACCTGAGCAATAGCGAGTGATTTTTGAAGGGAAATTCAGTCGACTGACTGCCTCACAAACACATTCACCGTCATCGACTTCTTGTCTGCACAGACAGGGAGTGTCAAACATAGGCTGTCTGAAAAGGTTCCGTTGACACGTCACCTCGGTAACGCTCTGACCAGCGATCGGAGTCCAGATCAGACAGTAACCGAGCAGCCGCATCTCTGCCTGACCTCCGACCTCCTGCTCTCTTTGGACAAAGGCTTCTTTTCTTACCTGTTTTTGTGATTTGAATGTGCAGACGAGGGCAAAGTCATTCATCATTTCTCTGCTGAAGCTACCTCTCTAAGTTGTCATTGTATTTTTCTTATTTATTGCTTTCACTACATTCTGTTCTGTTGTGTGTTTTTCACTTGGTGCTCTCGCATTAATGTCAAACTCTTAAATCCAGACACACATTGAACCTCTCCTTACGTTCTACCTCAGACACTCCTTTTGTCCTTTGGCAGCTTTTATTATGAAAACACCCAGAGTCCCTCGTGTCCCTTGACTTTCCTTTTATGTTTTTGCTTTTGTTTTTGTTAAATTAGCGTCATTTCATATTCCAACTCCTGCCCTCTCGTCACAAATCCAGGCCTGAGATGAAAGAACGTGAGTGGCGGTGCCACATCCACCGTATCAGAGCGTTATCATGCCGACGGCTGCATTTTCTCCACATCACGATACGCCTCAGTGTGTTTGTGTTTATTTTTTAATCCCCATTGTGTTCCCTGATTATTGTTCCTTCAAGGCAACACAGAGCGCTATCATATCTGACTCTGTCAATGCTGCTTGTGATCGATTATCAATGAGAGAATGGAGCTGTGGTCAAACTGACCTCTCCTGGTGTTGACGTGCGGCGGCGCTCTCGTGTGACCCTGGCGCTGTGGCACGAGAGCACAGACCCGCTGTGAGCAGACCTCTGATGATGCGGATGGGGGCGGGGCCTGCTCAGGCCTCAGCTCCGCCCACCTGATATCCTCAGATTCAAAGTGCCGGGCGTCACTAATGACACAGCCCACTTCATAGTGTGAAGTCCTCACCGTTGGGTCTGATGTTCTCATGAAGCCGGGGACTCCTGGAATCTAAAACAGAGCCGTGACACTGATATGACCTTTGAACAGGAGCATGGGTTGCAGGAGTGAATGAATGTTGACATATCTCAGGGATTAAATACATTTACACGATTGAATCAATTCACTGAAACGTCTTTTTTTTCTCCCTCTTCAGAAATCTCTTGTCTGCTCTCGTTACTGTAACTACCTGTGAAGACTGTGATCCATTACGTGTTTAAAGCATGTTTAGAACGTTTTAGGACTTGAAACCAAATAAATGTGAATGTTATGCAAGTAAAAGCTGTTGGTCTCTTTGTTCTTTATGGTTCAGTCTGAGATGGTCTCAGGGTCACGAGTTCAGGTCTTTGGACCGACATCTGACATCATGTCCTCAGCAGAGCATTGATGCTTGGCTAGAGGAGAACGCAGGAAAATACTGAAAAACTATTAAGAGTACATATACATACAAGTGTTACTGGTATAAACAGAAAATATGAAAAATAGATTTAATATACACATTAAAATATTACTAAATATATAGAAGAGGAAACGATAAGAATGATATTGAACTGGATGATTGTCAAGCCATCTGAATGCTAATGGGAGCTAACTGTTTCCAGTAAACACCTGTTTCCTGGTGATCTAAATGCAGGTTGTTCTCAGTAAATTAAAATCTCAAAAATGTAAATAATTTCAGTAATTTAGCTCACAACATAAAACTATACCCGTAACAGCCCTGTGATTCTCTGTGGGGTTAAAGGTCAGGGGAGTTTGTTGACCAATCAAACACAGTAACACCATGATCATTGGACCAGTTCAGTACCCTTCTCAATGTGGGTCAGAACCAAGTCCAGATGGAAATCAAACCAGCTGGTCAGCAGAGGGAAGCAGGACGTTTTCTGAGACTTCCTGCTAGAAGCTGCACTGACTGTGGAGCTCAGAAAACCCAGTGGACCAGAACCAACAGAGGACATGGCAACCCAAACCATCACTGACTGTGGAGTTCAGGAAACCCAGTTTACTGACAGTCTATGTATTTCATGAGCACTTCTTATGAAAAAAATAATACAATTCATTCATAATGATGTAACTTGGCAGCGACCAAATAAAAACTGCCTTGATTGATTGATGTGATAATAGTTGAGCACAAAGCTGTTATCTTAAAGGTTCCATTCATGTGGCCCTCAAAAAGCCTTGCAGCAGGCAGGATTTGGCCCCTGGGCCTTGAGCTTGACACATTGTGCCTACTGGATAAGTCTTACTATGTTGGCATCATTATGTACTTTTTCTATTCTGTTCCTATAATTTTCTCATTTGCTGAGAAACTGAGTTTGTGTTATTTATTTTCTAAGTCATAATCATCAAAATGAACTGAAATAAGTGCTTGAAATTGTATCACTCTGTGTATAATGTATGAGTTTCCCTCTTTGATGATAATCTAATTTATTGAAATTTGTTTTTATGCCATTCATCTTTATTTTTTATTCTCAAGAGCTGCTCATTCATTAGAATTTCTCTGTAAATAGTGAACTACTGATGAAACTGACTTTGCAGCCGTTAGACTGTTGCACATTACACACAAAAGTTTTATGTTGATAATGAAACACGGAGAAACGGAATCCATTACACTTGAGGAATATTATGGCAGTAAAGTTTAATGAGAAGGTTATCTGTGACTAGTTGTGGCTGCAGAAGCAGCCACAGATTCCAGAGAATAAAAAATGTGCTGCATCTGAAAATCTGAAACCATGAGTTTGATCAAATCTCATCAGCTTACTTCTAAACTAAATGAGGGTGTTTTTAGCTTTTGGACAGAAACAAGTGAAAGCTTCAATCTCCTGGATGTCAAATGTAAATCGAAATGCCATTCATTTTTTACAGATATAACAGTTTTAATGTAACAGTGGGAGGAGCTCAGCCAGTAGCGGCTGTTATAAGAACCACTACAGCTTCCCTATCAAAGCTGCAATATAACCCAAAGCACAAAACAGTTGTATTCTTCGACAGCTCATCAGGGCCGTTGTAGACAGAAAAACAAAAGAGGAAATTTTCACCAGAAAATTCTTGAGGTTAATCTCAGAAACGTTCTGGAAAAAAGTTTGAAAGGTCAAAAAAAATTGCTAGAAAAATCTGAGAATGTTTTTGACTTTTAGAAATGTCCTGAATTTCACAAGTTGAAGATGTTTGGCTTTTGAAACTAAGCTCCAAGATTTTTTCTAGAAAATCTCTGAGATTTTTTTTTTATTTTTTATTTTTTTTTGTGTGTGTGTGAAAATGAACTCCTTGTTTTTCCTTTCTATCTACTCAATCTTTACTTTGATACTGAAAATGCAAAGCTTCCTAAAACCGGAATCAGCATGTTTTCTTCTAGAATCTGGGCTGCATGATGTATGAAATCAGGTAGAATCTCTGCAGTCAGTCAGGTTGCCTTTGCGCTGACGGATGGCCGCCTTTGCACTGCTGATTGCATCATGAGTGGAGCGGGCCACGGGTCCAGAGGGCGTCACTTTATTTCCTCAAGGCTGACGCAGTGGCTTTTTGACGAGTTGTCCCTAACACTACCCCCCTCCCACGGCCAGTCAAGGCTGCCGGTCCTCCTGGGAACAACAACACCACCGAGGGGAGCCGCTAGCCGATGGTTTCTACACATGATTATGCAAGAGGTCGCGACCCCAGCATCACTATCAGCTGTGAGATGATTATCTCTCATGAGATGGCATTATCAGTGTGCAACGTGTTTATTTGTCCGGCTGGTTGATCCGTCTGCTTTCACCTTGGCGCGCGCCATCAGTCGCCGCCCTTCACCTCGCCGACCCCTGTGGTGTGTGCTATCTGCATCCTCTTTCTCTCTGATAACGCACATGGATGTTTGGAACGGAGATAAGATTCCTGGCCTCAGACTTCCAGCTCTGCCGTGGCTTTTGATGAGAATCAGGGATGGAAATCAGCGATGACTGCTTAACATTCAGCTCTGATGGCTGCATTCATTTATTTTATGGTTCTGATTTGAAAAGATGCTTCAGTAAGGCGAACATATGAAAGGAGTGTGTAATTTCAGGTCAGAGGGTAAAGCAGTGGGAGGCTGGCTGCTCCAGGAGTTTCTGTACAGATTTAAGCAGGACACAAAAATATATGATAGTAATTAAACCAAGGTTATAGAACTTCTGTGTGATTAAACCTGCTTACAGCTGAAGTTCTGAGGGAATGAGCAGCATGTATTTGATGACCAAGGCCATCAATTAAACCAGAAAACAAGAGAGTAAACTAAAGAAGGCAAATTCTGACCTTTTTCTGAGAACACGCCTAAAGTTTAATGCTAGAAAAAGTCCTCCTTTAAAGGGATAGTTCACATTTCTTTAAATTAGAGTTCACATCTTACCTGTTCTATTCCACCAGTTAGTTGAACAGAGATTTTTATTTCAGCTGATAACTTGTCGGAGTCAAACCAGGAAAAATTGGATTTTTCAAAGGTACTTTCATTTGAAAATTGTCCCAGCACTTTATGTGACTGTCATTTCAGCACATGT